TAAGATTTGTTTTGCAAGTATTAGGCCTCTTTATTTCTTACTGAATTTCTTACAGTAGATGTTTCACCATTTTTTAGTAAGCAAGATAGGGTTCAAGAAATTTTTCATAAATAGTTCTAATTTCAGAATAATAGCAGTGTTGCCATCTGATATTAATCTAGAAATACTAATTTTAGTCATCTCATGAGTGTAGAAGGCTCAAAGTATGCTAATTTATATGTAAGCCTATTTCAGAGGTACAAAGGTAAAGGAAATGTGAAAGCACATAATGATATTTATATTTTTATAGAATATTTTCAAAAACATTTATACATCCTGGAGGAAGGTGTCTGCCTTGAAATTCAGCACCTCATAATAACCTACAGCAGCAGAGTCCTCCCACTGATGACAACAGAACATTCTTCTGTAGAACCCTTTAATTTTAGCCCCTACTCAAAAAAAACCCCCAACCCCAAAAGATACATTGCAGCTTCTATTCTGTATTTATATTCTCTTCTGTGCCATTTAAAATGGAATAAAGTATTTCAATAGCCTTTGATGATTATGTTATTTTTATTGCACTATAAAAATAACCAGTTATTACACTGAAAAAAGGATTAAGGAAAAAAATGCAATTTGAACAATTTGATGCTTATACGGTGACTCATAAAGTCCTGCAGGCACTTCCATCTATCAAAAACTGGCTGGGAGATGAAAAATGCCTAGTATAAAACTGGCAAAAACTGGGGAGCCCCAAGTGTCTATACTCCACATCCTTAACTTGAGAGATTTTATTTAAAGTCTGACTAGCAAAATTGTCAAGTGACATGAAGAGTATTAACCTGGTTCCCCAACTCAATTATTCCAGGCCAGAGAACTCTAAGAAAATTCAGACAGACCATTAACAACCTCAATTGTTTAATTTGCTGTCAATCATGGTACCTATTTAATTATCAGTTAATAGAAAAAAATCATAGATAGTAGTGTAAAAAATAATAATGACTCTTATGTCAGAGTTCAGAAGCATGTCCGCTCACGGTGGGGAAAAACCCAACAACTGGCAATAGTGAGACTAGCTTAAGCAAGGCTTCAGCGTAATGTATATTTGTAGTAAAAAATGTCAAAGTCATTCTTACCTTTCTTCTTCCCCTGTAAAAAAAAGATGTTACAACATTTCACATAACGTCGTTAATAAAGCAAATACCTTAACGACTTCATTCTGTCAGACCACCTCCTGAATACAAGGTACAATGGGCTGAGAGGAGCTCGCAGAAGAATTATCAAGGGCAAAGAAAGGTTTTAATCTCTAAAGAAATTGAAAACATTGCAATTTTTAATGGAGAGATGAGTTAGAGGATGTAATAAAGGAGTGCATCATAGCAAGTGGAGAAAACAGGTCAACAGCAAATCATTAAGGACACCAATGTAACAAGATGCAGAAACAGAAATCAAGGATATCCAGGCTTCTTCTAACAAATGGTAAACACATCACAGCTGAGACAGTAAACATCTTCCTTAAAGCCTTGAATCGTTATACATTTGGATATGTGGGACACACTGCTTTTGTCTGGTTTTGGTTTCCTACTGATCACCCTGGAGCTGCTGCTGTTGCGCAGTCTGGCACAGAAGGACTACTGGCCGGTCCCAACTGCTTGAGTGCTGCACAGATTTGTTCAACCATTTAAAAAAAAAAAGTGGAACCTTATTTACAAATACCTGCATGCATAGTAGTCAAGACATCAAACACCAAGTGGTGGGAAGAAAACATGCTGAATCATGAAAGTAAGAAAGAGCACTGAGAAAAAACACAAAACTACTCACTTCTCTTAGCTGTAACTCACAGTGACGGTGGTTGTGAGGAGGGAATAATAACCAGCTGCAGTAACCCAACAAGTTTGCTTCATTACCAGAGAAGTAAACTACTGAGATCACATTTCAAACGCATGCATTCTTACCGAGTACCACCTTTTCTAACATGGCTTTTCACAAAACAGAAAAAGTGAGAAGGGATAGAAAGACTCAAAAAGCCTGAGCTGGCACCTCCCAAGAGCCTGTGAGGATTTGGCCATACCTCAGAGGCAGCCTGGATATGAAGAAGAAATGGAAGCCTCCAGTATAATTTTACATGTACAAGAGGGTTGCAGTCTGTCATTGTTATATTAAAACCAGTTGTCTTTTTTTTTTCAGATACTCAAGATACCTGAAAAATGGCAGCCACGCCTGTGACCAATCAAGTAATCACATTGGTCAAGGGTCAGTCTAGATCTTAGGAAGCTTGGAAGAACATGACACAAGTCAAAGGGCCAGGAGAATATAAGGACACTCTGAAGCCCATGTGCCATACAGATGACAGTGCCTGGGATGTCACGTAGCTTACCTGCAAATAGCAGAACAGCATTTTCCTGCAGATCTGTGAAGAGGCTAATAAAATTAATGGTCTGGCTTGGTCACGCTTGGGAAATGTCAAATAGATGGTTCCTCATCAAAATGAGCAATGTAAGACAAGGCATCTCTCTTGGTCTGAACTACATCTTTTTTGTTCATGTAAAACTAGCCCTGTCTCAGAGGGTTATGACATTCCAGATAGCTTCTCACAACTATGTATTTTCTTGTTTCTGCAATTCCAGTTTTCAGAGCTCTCCCCTGAACCACAAGGAAAAGAAATAGAAGAAGGTCAGACAGAAATGTCCAGCCTTCTCAGACAGCTATAATGGTAATCTGGCACGCCTGGTTTCCTATCTGGAATTGTTGGTCAGATATTCCTCAGCAACCACAAAAATCCATGTGTTTCTTTGTCTCAAGGACTATGATGATGAAAGAAATTGGCTCTTTCATTGCTGTGTTTAAGACATGCCTTCTTTAAAATACATGAGGTGAGAATTAGGTCATACATCAGGGCTGTCATGAACAGCTGAGACATACACTTCAGACCCAAGTCTGAAAATGAAATCTCTTGACAGAATTCCCTTGCTTCTTGTATACGTATCAAAATAGGTTCCATCAAGAGTTATACTGACCCTTTTGAGCTGCATAGCCATATCCATACTTAGCAAAATGCTGAAAGACAGCACTTCCCTGAAAACAAGACTACGGAACTGTATCTTAATAACTCTAAAGAACATTATCTAAAAAACAGCCGATGATTTGTCGAGACTCTCAGTTTGTTAGTGCCAAGGCTGGACCGCACTATCAGATGGAATATTCTGGCAAAGACTTATCTCATTACTCTGAAATGTATTTTCCATTTCATAATGCTATTTAAGATTAGCATACGGAACTCTAGACATAAACCAGAATATTGATTATGCACATGTTAGTCTATTCACATTTAATAAGACACTCTAAGCTCCTGAAAGAACACTACATGACTAAAATTCCAATTTGCAGTTTTTAAATGGGCAAAATATGGTAACATTTAGAAAGAGAAATGTTGTATTCTCTGGTATGCCATGTTCTGGTTTATAGAGTTTAGGTGGTGTACAGAAAACTTAGCAGCGAAGTGAATTACAACGCTACTCACTTCATGGCCCTTTTACACTGATATATTTGGCTGGTGCCAAACCCAGCATACAATATCATACTGTAAATGAGAATTTAGTTAGGCAGAAAGCATAACTAAATAGGTCACTATACTATATGACAGTAGATGCTTTAAATATAGAGTGATACACCGACATGTATCATCTGAAAAACAGAACAGCTTATTGAGTTATGCTACCTTGGCACAGAACGGACATCTACAGACCATTTCAAACTTTCAGGAAAAAGAAGTAAGAAGGACACACAAGAGTACTTGTTCATCTAACGTCAGCAAAGGTTTTGTGTATGGAAGCCAAAATTCCTTTTTGGTTTTGGCTGGTAGTAGGAACGTAAGTTGATAAACTGACTGTCTTCTAAAACATTTTTGCGTGTTTGGCATCGAATATGTGCCTTTTTTGGTGAATAGTATAATGAACACAAAGAATTACTGTCTTAAGGCGTTTTGTGAGATCTGTGCAATTCAAAGTACCACCCTAATGGCTTGGAAGTGATTTGGTAACATGGTCTAGGAACTGCCAATGGTCATAAGACTGGTATTCCACCAACTTGGTAAAATCTGGCTTACTATTTTCACTGACAGACTGCAGGCATAGAATTAATTTCATCTAAGATTAGATAGCTTACAATGTATACTTCCGCAGTTGGATTGGCTTTCTTTATATTCAGTGGACAGAAATACGAGAGGTGCAATTCATATAACTAGTTTTGAACATTAGGATGTGATTTTTTTCTCTTCACTGACCATAAAACGGAACATAATACAGTACAGCAGCATGGAGCTGTTGATCACATGCGTTGCTTAGTAATGCACATGTTCCTTATAGCATAGGTTGAATCCTACACCGGTACAATAGCTGCTGTGGTTAAGCAATTTTCAAAGTATTTATGAAGATCCATACTGAACCTGATCTGCACCGGTATATACATTTCTTTGATTGACCTGCAATTTTTTGACTTACTGAGAAGATGCCTGTAATCAATCTGATGTCCCAGGAAGATATAGATGAGAAGAGTGGTCTTCACCAACGTCAAACTTATTCATCATCATTCTCCAGCCAGTTGTTGTTCTCCTGGATTTAGATTTTCATAGTACCAATGGATGTTGCTGATCATGTTTCGGAATGGCCCATTTCAGTGCGCTGCCAGTTTTCACATGTAGGCAAGATGTAAGCTATTCTGAGGTTGAAGAGCATTATGGATGCAGCCTACAGGTGATCAGGAGCTCTCAGTTAAGACTGGCTAATGTTCTGTACACTGAACATCACCAGTGAAGCAACTTTTGCTTGGTGAGATGTGACAGTTGCTAGATGGATTGTTTAAATCATGACCAACTTTACAGTAACTTGACATTCAGAGGTACACTTGATCTCCTCGGTGAGCAAATCTAATGCAAATTATATACTATTTACACTACTATCATGGGAAGACCCTATCCAGAGCAGCAGTACAATCTAAAAATTATACACACATTAGCAAAGTCATTCAGTTTTGTTTTCGTTTTAATGAATTTTTTAAACATCTGTATCATCAGACAAAACATTTAGGTCATGAGAAAATATTTATTTCCAACAGCATGGATTCTGAAAGTTAGTTGGAAGAAGGCATGTTCAATGCTATGATTTTTCCAATGCTGGGTCAGTTGAAATAGTGTGTTGTAGTGCATATATTAACCAGTTACTTTAAGGAAATGCAAAAATACATAGTGAAGTAGGAAGTGAATACAAACATTCAAGGCAGTAAAAATGGAGAATACTGACACATGGCTGAAAAATGTACTTTTTGTAACGCTCTTTTGTATCACACAAAACTAGCAACTCACTTTAGAACATTCTTTGTCAGCAACCATACTTCTGACCATATGAAATTATTAAATTTAATACAGTCTTTCAGCTGGAAGAGATATTAAGGTCTAACGCTCATATCAAACACTTAGATTTTGTTAGCTTTGCTTGTTATTTAAGATAGTTTCAAGGTACTGCACCAGTATCACATAGGTTTGGTTTTTTTTAATTGATTTGTACAGAAACATGCAAATAGTAATGCATGAGGGTTTTATATATTTGATTATAATTGGATGTATTATTGATAGAGCACACCAAGCTTTTTTTGTTACATTTTATGCTGAACTGTTCCATTTCCACACCTACCAATTGCCATCACCATTCTCATGGCTTATCATGTAAAGCCAGAAAGTGGAAAAAGTAAGAATGTCTTTACTTAGGACACATATTAATGAAAATAATTCTTTTATAGATAGATATATCTATCTACATATAATTAAGATTACATGGTATTTTTTTCAGCATGAAATGTAAAAAAAAAGTTCTCCAAACACCCCAAACTAGTAGGAAAACACGGTTAACTGGCACAATACACTCTTAAACCAGTTTTGTATAAGGCTTCAGTTTTCCTGATGAATGGGACTAAATTTTTAAGTAGGTCTGTATACATTTTAGTCATTATAACTGTTTTATGTCACAATATATTCTTAATAAAATAAAAACTCTTGTGTTGTAATTAAAGATAGCTAGTTACCTTCTAGACAAATATGTCCTTTTAGAGAGTAGGCTGTGTCTAAATATAAGAAGTAGAATTAAGGTGCTTCCATATTTTTGCTTTCATTTTTAAAAAGTACCACACATAAACAATTGCAATAATTGCTTGTGAACATGCTTTTCTTTGGCTTTTACCGTATTTTTAATAGCATGTGATCCCCCCTTGGAGACTTTTATCTTCATTACTTACTTGATTTTGTAAAAATTGTGTTGTAAAACTTAATAGAACAAAATGTTGGATGCATTTCCTTTGTCACAGCTACACTTTTTTCTCTTCCCTTCAGAATTTCCGTTTGCATCAAGCAATAACTGCAAGCAACAATAAATTTAAAGCTAGATTTTTTGCATGTTGTAAACTGGGTAGGACCAGGAGTTACTGACAAAACCAGCTGGTCATGCAAGATTAGCAAATTCTCTGTATTCCAACGCATTGCCATCTAATCTGTCCTGTTTCCCCTGACACATACTAACACAATGAAGCTGGACAATGGTTCAACAGCAAGTGCATGTGATAGTTCTGGCAAGACTATTTTTGTTTTGATTAAGCACATATTTTATCCGGGAGGGGCTAGAAAAGCAGGGCCTTTTTCTTCAGGTCATTTCGCTTCCAAAGTGCCAGACGATCAAATTCCTCAATGCTCATTTTGAAGACTTCCTGGAACTCTTCAGGGGACAAATGCCTCTTTAAAATGAAAACACAAAAAGTACCATTAAGCTCGTCTGTGCATACAGGAAGATTTCTGCCCTTCCTAAATTTTAAAACACACCGCAAAATAATGCATTAGGATTTGCATTTAAATTCCCAAATTGGTTCTGGAAAAGACTGCATCAAAACCAAAGGAGCTCAGAGTAGCTGGGAAATGAAATTATTGATGGCAGTAGTGACTTTTGAAAAAAAAAAAAAGTAATCTTTTCAATATAGTTCCAACTGAGCAGAAGTTATGGGTTTTGGGAAAAAGAAGTGTTTATACACGGTGCTTGATGACAGAGCACGCTGCGACAAATTTAAGCTATTCCAGAACTTTAAAGAGATTGATAACAATGTAATTTCAGAGTTGGATTTCTTTTGCCTTTATCTTTAATGAGAGCAGTGGACACCACACTGGTCCACTAATAGCAGCCTTGTAACAAAGGAGAGAGCACACTGCTAAATTCTTAAATCCAAAATGTGCTTATGCATGGGGATAAACTCCTATCAGCAGTCCAAGTTGGATAAAGTGGGTTTTTTTTTAAATGCCAAGAACTACGCTTCTATTTGATGTTTTCATGATTCAATATTAAAAAAAATAAAAAGAGAGAAAAAGGGGAGAATACCAACATAAAGAATTGGAAGGAGGTAGGATAACAATTGCCTAACAATTACTAGTATACACACAGAAAAGGCAGAAAAGATAAATGTGTGAATTAGAAAAGAATATCATATAAAATTCTTCTGATAATTGTGGACTAACTCTTGCTCAAGCATTTCAGTGGTATCAGTTACGGCTCTCTGTTTCTCATCTGTTAAGCACGCACCGTCCAAAAGGGTCAGATTCAGTGCCATGAGAATTACAAACTGCAATTTTTAAACATGGACTCTCCTCTTCCACATAGACTTCCCTGAAACCTGGGACCAGCACTGCAATCTAACCCTCTCTTCCCCAACCGAGCTTTTGACTCGAAGCTCCGCGGTCGCAGCTCTCCTTCCAGGCACACCTGGGCAGCCCCAGCCTGAGCACCTCCGCACCTGCTGGAGCACCACCTGCATCCAAAAATTAGGTGCCCCAAAGCCGCTTAGCGCAAGAAACGCTCAGACATGCCTCACGCAGCAGAATCAGGCTCATCACACATGAGACGACTGTGTTATTTCAAAGGAAGGATATCGGCCCTTTCCTTTCATCTCACTGCCTCCTGGTTGCAGGACTTCCCAGGAGGTGAGAAATCTGAGTTCAATGTCCTCATCGTTTGGAGGAGGCTCAAAACCACCATCTAGTCTACATTACTCACTCTCAAGACGCATGCTGGCAAGCCAGCCAGGAGAGTAATTTTAAAGGAGATACAGTCCTCACCAATGTGTATAATGCTACCAGCAAACACTGAGTGCAAGATGCTGAAGGCAGGGGGGACACAGCACTGCCCAGGGAAGGGGAGCCACTCGGTCCTTTCGACTATGTTTTTACCGGTCATTCAAATAGCCCAAGGTTGTCTATCACTTGAATCAGTTCCCAGCATCGTCTGGAGGAGCGCTTGCTAAAATTGTGGCACAGAGCACGCTAACATGCCCTGGTAAACCCACGACGGTTCACCTGACCAGGATGGACGCAGCCCTACCTCACAAAGCTATTTTTCTGGACAAATTTGAAAGCAAAATTTTTTTCCCACTTACTAACAATGAGTTTATTTTTGTACTGTAAATTACTCAAGGAAAACTAATGAAATTGTTTGTAAGAAATCACTACATTTAATTACCTTGAATGGTCATCATGGGCGCTTGTGGTTTCTTAAAAAAGGACAGCCTTGGTTTTTTTTTTCCCCTTGAGATTCCACATATTCAGAACAGTGACTAAGAGTTTGGAACTGAGCCTTCATTTTTCATTTGACCAATGATAGGAACCCACCATAAGCACTACACATAGCATGGAACAAACACGGCATGCACATTTGGCAAAGGAGATCCTGTTTCGCATGGAAATGAGCAACATCTGACAATATATTTTAGAAACAATCTCTCACTGACAGAATTTAATTCTACTGGGTTTGGAAAGAAAAAGTATCTTCTCACTACATTGATTTTTTTTAATATTTTCCTGGTAATCCAGCAGACAAATGTGAGCAAGCTTAACTTCAGCAATTTCTCACAGCACGGAACATGTCTATAAGTTGTGGGATTGAAAAAGAAGTATGGATGAGCAAAGTGTATCATATTTTGTTTTATCTTACTTTCCAGATTGTGGATGAGACTGGAGATATCCCCTCACTCAGGAGAAAGCAGTGACAAACTGTAGTTCATCCTCAAAGAGAAAATCAGAAAGCCCATACATACCCTGCAGGTAAATCCACTTTGCCAATCATCCAAAACCCTAGGAAATGTAAAACTTTAAAAGGAATGTTTTCACCATTTTTTTTTCTTCAGGTAAATTACACCATGTCTTCCTAGAAATTGCTGTGGTCTCATCAAATCTGTTTCAATACTGAAGGTCAATGGAGGGAGACTCAGCAAGCCCTACGTCAGGCCGCAGGCCTTTTCTGCAGGGTGCCAAATACTCGCTACACATTCACCTTCCAACGAAGCTTGCCACCAATCTCAGCAAAAGCTCTGCAATTTCCCCTTTCCTCTCCAAGACCTTACTTTGCCGTTTATCATTTTGCTTTGCCCTCAGGCTTAGCGAGCTTTCAGTCCACGTGCATCTATCCAAGCCTGTATGAATTGGATGTGCGCTCTGCTCCTCTGCTTGTATCCAGATGACATCACCTTCATTCCTCGCGTGCACTCATTTTCTAATTACACTGAAGTTTTGTTTTACACCAGCACCATTTTTTTTCCTCGCAGAAGTTCTCAGTTGGTGCTGCCTGGTCCAAAAACAGCTGAGAGTTTCCAGCCCAGGGATGCAGTAGCAGAGATTGAGATGGGGAAAGGACGAGCTCACTTATTTCCACCTCCCATTCCACTAGGCAGTTTCTTTCCTTTTAATTCTCCTCCACATACTGTCCCTCATCTCAAGGACTAACAACCAGACTGCAATATTAGTAAAGTTTCTTACTCCATCAATGCATTATCCACAAGCAAAATTAATTCTAGTAGAAGGGAACACTTCCCCTTTGGTCTGAACCCTCTCTGAGGACACCAGTCTGTGCCCAGTGTAGCATAATTCCCACTGTTTTCCCTGCATCTCAGAAACTTTCACCATCCCTTTCTTAGGCATCAAGGGCTCTAGCTTTGGGACTGACCCTAGAAGCATCAGTAATTACAGTTCTGTCTGCAAATTTTGGAATAAACTTTGATCCCAGAAAGATGTCATCAAACTGGCAAAGCTTCAGATAAAAGTAACAAAAGTAATCATGGGTTGCAGAGTTTGATTTATGAGGAAAGACTAAAAGGCCTAAGTATGTATAAGCTTAGCCAAATGATGACTAAGGGAAAATATGGTAAATGTCTACAAGTATTTGAAGGGTCTAAACACCATGGGAATAGGCCAGTGTGGGAAGTTTATGATCATACTTTGTATGTGCAATGTTAAATTTTGTCTGCACTATTGTTGGGACCTTCCTAAACCTTATAGCTTTAAGACCTAGGGCTCTTCCCAAAGGCAGAGAAAATGCACCACTAAGAAGTCTTAGATTGATTTATCTTTCTTCTCAGCTATTTGAATATTAGTTTGTCTTAAATGAAGCGTTACGTTGTCTCATTAGTCAAACAAAGAAGGGAAATTGAAAATTATGCATAGGGAATAGGGAGGATATTCATTCTGAGGTATGAGAGAAGATGTGTATGTAAAGCTATGCTTTACAAGGCCAGGAACATGGTTTCTTTTTTTTTTTTTTTTTAGGATTGGATCAGCTTAAAATATCCAGCTATGTTAATAGTTCATCATTGGGCCATTAAAGGAATGGCCAAACTTATTAGTAAAAATAACATTGATTCCTTTTTTTTACTAGGGTTGGCCTTGTTTACATAGGAAGTCTGGGTGTTTTACAGTGTGCTAGTAACCAATTCTTAATTCCCTTTGTGACAATTTGGCCATATTCAGGCAGCTTAACACAGTCTACTTCTCTGCTCTGCAGCAACAGCAAAGCTGGGCACGCTGCAGACACCGAAGAGACTACAGAGGACCAGATTAAGGTCCCCTTCTGCCTACACGCTGAACTGATCGTATTTAAGTGAGCTCAGTTTGGAACCTGCATAGTGACGTTAACATGCTACTACCTGAAAACGTTGCTAAAAGATAAGGTAAACAGTTTAAAGATGGTTCTTCACTAAAAAGGCTGCTATACTGGAGCTTGCAGCATGAGAACATCAGCATTTTGGATATATTTAAGTGTAAAATTGCCACACTAGAAAGGACTACTGCCTCATATTGTTTTGATAAAATTATTAATCTGAGACTTGTAAAGTCAGTAGTGCCCAGTCTTTTGTTCTGGATAGCATTTTGTGTCAGCTTGCATGGGAAATCAGAAAAAGACAGTGAGACTCAAGTTCAGTAAAGTGCTGAGGATCCACCACGTGCGTCTATGGGTCACAGCAGTGGCTTTGTGTGGAAGAGGAGAGTCATGTCTCCAGAAGCACAATCTCTCACCTGCACTGACAGCATTTTGGATGAGAGATATGGGATCACAACCTTGGGATGCCACTCTGGGAAGCCCAAAGGTGGCCTGCAGCTTGGGAACTGAATGTTGCTGCTGTAATTCCTCACCTGGATGCCACCTAAAGGGCACAGCACTGTGTAGGAAGGGTCACCACACCCTGCTGTAATTATGTAGCTAGCTTGCCCTAAAACATGCAAATGCACGACAGAAGAATTAAAATGCAAATGTTTCTTATTAAGATACACAGAACTAAGCAAGGGCTGAGCTAAACCTCTCTACTGCAATCCAACCACTCTAATGGAAAATCCTCGTGCTCTGTGAAACTTGATCATCAAAACGAGCACTACAGATACACGCTCATTTTTGAGTCTCTCAGAACAAAAATAATTAATTGCACAT